CGGGGGGGGCCCCGGGGGGCCCCCCGGGGGGGCCCCCGGGGGGGCCCCCGGGGGGGCCCCCCGCACCTGGCAAGTCGTCCCTGGGGAAGAAAGGGGGGGCCTCGTGAGGGGGGAAATAATAGAAAGACAAAGGCGTTAGGGGCCCCAAAGAAACGAAAGAAAGAAATTAATTAATTTAATTAAAATAATATTCTTTAAATCAAATTGGAAGTGCAAACAAGACATATTTCATTCTGGACTTAGCCCTGCAGCAGACGCACAAAGAGGCCCTGCTGCTGAGGGGCCCCCACAAAATAGGGGCCCCTTGGGGGGCCCCCCAGGACCTGGGGGGCCCCCCAGGACCTGGGGGCCCCTCAGGACCTGGGGGGCCCCCCGAGGCCCTTTTGGGCCCTTCAACACCCCACAGTTTACATCGCTGGTGAAGACCCGGGGGGCCCCCAGGGACCCAGTGGGGGCCCCTGGGGGCCCTCGGGGGCCCCTGGGGGCCCTCGGGGGCCCTCGGGGGCCCCTAGGGGCCCCTGGGGGCCCCTGGGGGCCCCCTTTTTGGATTGCCAAATGGCTCTGGGGGCCCCGGGGGGCCCCCTAAGGAAGTCCTACGGGCCTTGGGGGCCCCCCAACGACGGAGTCTGGAGCTTGTCGGATTTGTTTAATTTTTTGTCTGGATCGCTTGTAAACCCTAAACCCTAAACCCTAAACCCTAAACCCTAAACCCTCGCTGAGATGCGGGGGGCGGTTTGGAGAAGGAGCAAATTTGTCTGTTTCTTGTTTGTGAATGGGAAAGCGCATTTAATTTATAAAGAATAAATAAATAAATAAATTAATTAATTGAAAAGTTAATTAATTAATTTATTTATCTTTTATTTATTTAACTTTTATTTATTTGTTTATTTAGACTTCGGCCGCGCGAGAACTGCGCCGAAAGAAAAAACATTTAACTTCGTTTGAGGAACTTTTAATTTCTTTCTTTTTCAAAAATGAAAAACAAATTAATTGCAATTTTCTTCAAAAGTAGAAAAAGAAAATTATTTTGGTCTCAGAAATAAAAAACAAATCAATTATAATTGTCTCCAGAAAAAGAAAAGAAACTAATTGTAATTATCTCCAAAAGAAAAAAAGAAATTAAATGCAACTGTCTTCAAAAAAAAGAAATTAATTTTAATTGTTTTCAAAAAGAAAAAGGAAAGTATTTATTTTTGTCTAAAAAGAAAAAAAGAAAGAAGTTGTAATTGTCTTTAAAAGGAAACAGAAGTTAAATATATTTGTCTTTAAAAATAAAAAAGAAATTAATTTTAATTTTCTTTAAAAATAAAAAGAAATCAATTATAAATGTCTTTAAAAAATAAAAAAAAAGAAATTAATTTTAATTGTCTTCAATAAAAAGAAATTAATTTTAATTGTCTTCAGCAATAAAAAGAAATTAATTATAACTATCTTTTAAAATCATAATTAAATAAATGAAAAGAATATTTTCATTTAAATAAACAAATAAATGGAAATAATAAAATTGCTTATTTAAATAAGCGAATAAATGAAAACACTAAATATGTTCATTTAAATAAATAAATAAATAAGTAAATAAATAAATAAATAAATATGTTGATTTAAATAAATAAAAAAATGAATAAAAATAATAAATAAGTTCATTTAAATAAATAAAAAAATAAAAATAATACATATGTTAATAATGCATTTACACACTGGATGCATTCAGGGAGAAAAACGCAAAAATAAAATGAAATAAAACGAAAATAAAATAAATAAAATAAAAGAAAATAAATAAAATAAAATAAATAAAATAAAATAAATAAAATAAAATAAATAAAATAAAATAAATAAAATAAATAAAATAAAATAATAAAATGGAGAAAAAATGGAATAAAAAGAAATAAAATGAGTTACAATGAAATACACATTTCTTAACTCTTTGGTTATTTTGGATTTAAATGATAAAACAGAAATTAAGAATCAAAACATTTATTTTATTTCATAATTTGCTGACTACCTCAGTGAAAGGAGCAGCAAAAAAGCAGCAGCAGTGCTGCTGCTGCTGCTGCTGCTGCTGCTGCTGCTGCTGCTGCTGCTGCTGCTGCTGCTGCTGCTGCTGCGTTTGGTCCGGCGGCTGACTGTCGGGCGTCGGCTGCTGCGGGTGGAGGGTTTCCCTGGGTGCATTTGTGATTTTTAAATGAAAAAATGAATTAAAAAATAAAATAAAAACAAATAAAATCAAAAAAATAAAAAAAAGAACCATTAAATGGGCCAGTGGCTCCGCAGCAGCACGAGGCACTGAGGCCCTGCGGCGGTGGTCTGGTCACGGCCGCTGCGGCTGCTGCCTTCTTCTCTTTTCTTCTCTTTTGCATTTTAATTTGTATTATTTTTCAATTTTAAATTCAAATTTAAATCCATTTTTGCTTTTTAAAACAATTTATTCAACTTCAGAGCAGACACAGCAGCACGGGAGGCCCGCCTGCTGCGCCTCATCCCCGGGCCACCAGCAGCAGGCAGCAGCAGCAGCAGCAGCAGCAGCAGCAGCAGACCTGCAGCCCCCAGGGCCTCTCTAGCAGCAATTAATTCTTTTATCAATTTGTTTTCAACTCCAGAGTTGAGAATAGCGGCAAAGACACCGGGGCTAACTGCGCAGCAGCAGCAGCAGCAGCAGCAACAGCGCAGCAGCAGCTAGCGAAGCCGCAGCAGCAGCAGCAGCAGCAGCCAAAGCAGCAGCAGCAGCACCTGCGGACGGGCTGCAGCGACAGAGACAGCAGCGGGCTTGCTGCCGGATGCAGCAGCAGCGGCAGCAGCAGCAGCGGCAGCTCACAAACACCGCTAGCTGCAGCCGCAGCAGCGGTAACAGCAGCAGCATATGCAACAACAGCGGCAGCAGCAGCAGCAGCAGCAACAGCAGCAGCAGCAGCAGCATTCCCAACAGAAGCAGCTTCAGCTCCAGCTGCTGCTGCGTTCGGGCATCCAGCACCGGCACCCGCAGCACTGCTGCTTTTACCAGCCCCATCAGAAGCAGCAGCAGCAGCAGCAGCAGCAGCAGTAGCAGCAGCAGCAGCGGCAGCAGCAGCAGCAGCCCCAGCATGCGCAGCAGCAGCAGCAATGCGCCGTTTGCCTTCTGGGGCTTACAGTGTCCCCTCTGACCCTCCCGAGCCCTTTTCTGCTGCAGTGTCCCCTGTAGCATCTGCTGCTGCTGCTGCTGCTGCTGCTGCTGTTGCTGCTGCTGCTGCTGCTACAGTGTCTCCTCTACCGTCTCCTGCTGCTGCTGCTGCTGCACCCCAGCCAGACCAAAAAGGAGACACAAAAGAAAGAAAGAGACAGCAACAATTCCTGTCTTCTCAGCAGCAGCAGCAGCAGCAGCAGCAGCAGCAGCAGCAGCAGCCACACCAAGACCAAGAGGGGCCCCCCCTAGGGTCACCTGCAGCAAAGGGGCCCCCAACCCCCGGGGGCCCCCCAACCCCCGGGGGCCCCCCAACCCCCGGGGGGCCCCCAAGCCCCGGGGGGCCCCCAAGCCCTGGGGGGCCCCCAACCCCAAGGGGGCCCCCAAGCCCCGGGGGGCCCCCAACCCCAGGGGGGCCCCCAAGCCCCGGGGGGCCCCCAACCCCCGGGGGGCCCCCAAGCCCCGGGGGGCCCCCAAGCCCCGGGGGGCCCCAGGCCTCATGGGGGCCCCTTTATGTGGAAGAACTGGATGGCATTATTAGGGCTAAAGAGGGCCTTAAAAAGGGTCCAGGGGGCCCCCTTGGGCTTTTGGGGGCCCCCGCAGATCCCTGGGGGGCCCTCGAGGGGGCCCCCTCTGGCTCTTCCTGGTTTGCTGGCCCGCAGTCTTGCTGCTGCTGCTGCTGCCAAGACCAACCAGCAGCAGCAGCAGCAGCAGCAGCAGCAGCAGCAGCAGATGCGGAGCAGTCCCTGAAGCAGCAGCAGCAGGGCCCCCTGCAATCCCCTGGGGGCCCCCTTCAGGGGCCCCCTGAGCCCTCGGGGGCCCCCAAGGGGGGCCCCCTATATCACAAAACTCCAAATGGAACTCAAAGTAATCCTAAAAGGGCACAGGGGGGGCCCCCAGCCTTACTGGGGGCCCCCCGGGAAGCCCAGGGGGCCCCCCTGGGGGCCCCCCGGGAAGCCCGGGGGGCCCCCCGGGAAGCCCAGGGGGCCCCCCGGGAAGCCCAGGGGGCCCCCCGGGAAGCCCAGGGGGCCCCCCTGGGGGCCCCCCGGGAAGCCCGGGGGGACCCCCTGGGGGCCCCCCGGGAAGCCCAGGGGGCCCCCCTGGGGGCCCCCCTTGAGAGCTGCAGGGGGCCCCGGAGTGGCCCTGGGGCCCCCAGGGGGCCCCTCAGAGCTGTGGGGCTTAAGTTGCTTAGGAGGAAAAAAACTAGAGGGTAAGCTGCTGCTCGTGCTGCTGCTGCTGCTCGTGCTGCTGCTGCTCGTGCTGCTGCTGTTGTTGCTGCTGCTCGTGCTGCTGCAACTGCTGTTGCTGCTAGTGCTGCTGCTGTTTCAGCTACTGCTGCTGCTGCTGCTGCTTAGTTGCAGCTGCAAAACAGCAGCAGGGGAAACGCTGCTGTGGTGAAGGCCAGCTGGCTCGCAATGCTGTTGCTGCTGTTGCTGCTGTTGCTGCTGTTGCTGCTGCTGCTGCTGCTGCTGCTGTTGCTGCTGCTGCGTGTTAAGCGGGCTGCAGACTTTTATAAAGAGACAATTATTTATTTTCTTTTGTCTCTTTTTGTCATCAGGTTTTCTGCTTCCTCTCCGTATTTAATGGAGCTCAAAATCACCCGCCGCATTGCTGCTGCTGCTGCTGCTACCTGCAGCAGCAGCAGCAGCAGCAGCGGCAGCAGCAGCAGCAGAAGAAGCAGAACAAAGGAGAAGCGAGAGGCCCCGTCGCAGCCTGCTAAAGGAGACTTGGAACAATTGCAGAGCCCACTGTCTCCCGCAGCAGCAGCAGCAGCAGCAGCAGCAGCAGCAGCAGCAGCAAGGAGACAAAAAAGAGAAAGACAACACAGGCACAGGGCAGCAGCAAAGGATGAAGAAGCAGCGAAAAACAGAATAAAGGGAAACAAAGCAGCAGCAGCAGCAGCAGATGCAGCAGCAGCAGATGCAGCAGCAGCAGCAGCAGCAGCAGATGCAGCAGCAGCAGCAGATGCAGCAGCAGCAGCAGACACGCCGTGGGCCCCCATACCCTCTCTTTTGCGCATTATATTCAAAGCTTCCGGTCGCTCGCCATTGCAGCAGCAGCAGCAGCAGCAACAGCAGCAGCAGCAGCAGCAGCAACAACAGCACTGCAATGAAGCAGAACAGCAACGAAGCGCACGAAAAGCGGGGGACTTTCTCAGGGGTCATCCCAGCAGCAGCAGCAGCAGCAGCAGCAGCAGCAGCAGCAGCAGCAGCAGACGGAGAGAAGCAGGTCTGAATCGGGAGAAGAGAAACAAAGAAAGAGTCAAGTCTCCAAACGGAGACAGTTGTGTCTCTTTGTCTCCTTGCAGCTCTTTGTCTCCCCCGCCCCTGCTGCACCGCCCAGCAGCAGCAGCAGCAGCAGCAGCAGCAGCAGCAGCAGCAGCAGCAGCGGCAGCAGCAGCAGCAGGCACAAGCCCCCGCTGCATCGCCCGCACGACTCGCAGCTTCACTTCAACCGTGTCCATCAGCAGAAGCAGCACAAGGCCACCCGCAGCAGCAGCAGCAGCAACATTAGCAGCAGCAGCAGCAGCAGCAGCAGCAGCAAGGGGAGAAAGCTGGCTTGTCTCCGAATACTGGCAGGAGACAGCAGCAGCAAAGATGCAGCTGAACAAGGCACGCGCCCCCAAATGCGCTACTGCTGCTGCTGCTGCTGCTGCTGCTGCTGCTGCTGATAGCTCTGTGTCTAAAGTACTGCAGCAGCAGCAGCAGCAGCAGCACGGCACTCATTTGAGAAGCAAAAGCAAGCAGCAAAAAGGAGAGAGTTTTCGTGGAGTGATAAACGCAGCAAAAGATGCTGCAGCAAGATATCCTGCTGCTGCAGCAGCAAGCTCTCCTGTTGCTGCAGCACGCGTTGCTGCTGCAGGAACTCTTTATGGGCCGCCACCCGCAGCAGCAGCAGCAGCAGCAGCAGCAGCAGCAGCAGCTTCTCAAACTGCAGCTGGGGAGGCAGCTGCTGCAGTGCTGCCCCTTGCTGATGCTGCTGCTCCTCAAGGAGAGCCTGCTGCTTCCCTTGCTGCTGATATGCTGCCACCTGCTGCTGCTGCGGCCTCTTTTGCTGCTGCTGCTGCTGCTGCGGAGCCTACTGCTAAGAGAGCTTTCTCGCCCGTTGCAAAAGGGTCAGAAGCTGCTGCTGCTGCTGCTGCAGCTGCAGCAACAGCAGCACCAGCTCCGACAAACGTTGAGCCAGCAGCGCCACCAGCTTTGGAAAGAGCTGCAGCAGCAGCAGCAGCAGCAGCAGCAGAAGCAGCAGCAGCAGCAGCAGCAGCAGCAGCAACACACACAAAAGGAACCACGCAGGCGCTCCGCCTCATAGCTGCTTACAGAGCGAAAAGCTTGGCAGAGCGACAGCAGCAGCAGATGCAGCAGATGCAGCAGCAGCAGCAGCAGCAGCAGCAGCTGCAGCAAAGGCCACAACAGCTTCCTGAAACAGTTGCTGCAGTGCTTAGTAGCAACGGCAGTAGCAGCAGCAGCAGCAGCAAGGAACGAATGGAAGGCTCGCCACTTCGGAGCAGCAGCAGCAAGAGGCAGGGCATGTGTGAAGATCAGAGGAAGCAGGACAACAGCTGTGGCAGCAGCAGCAGCAGCAGCTGCAGCAGCAGCTGCTGCAGCTGCAGCAGCAGCTGCAACAAGAGCTGCGAGCTACCTGTGGGGTCTCCCAGAGTGGACACCCGGAGGGTGCTGCGCGGCGGGCACAGCAGCATCAGCAGCAAGAGCAGCAACAACAGCAGCAGCAGCAAAAAGGAGCTGCAGCACGAACAGAAACTGCAGCAGCAGCAGCAGCAGCAGCAGCAGCAGCCTCTAGCTTTGCCTGCTGTTCTTAAATTCAAACCTCGGCGATTGTCTGCTGTCTCCACAGGCTGCTTGCCCCGCGAGCAGCAGCAGCAGCAGCAGCAAAAGCAGCAGCAGCAAGAACAGCAGCAGCAACAGCCGCAGCGGTCGCAGTCGAGCGCAGGCGAGCCTGGAGCAGCAGCAGCAGCAGCAGCAGCAGCAGCAGCAGCAGCAGCAGCAGCAGCTTCAGCAGCAAAAGGCCCTCCAAATGCCTCTCAGTTGGCAGCAGGCACTTCTGGTGCAGGAGCAACAGCAGCAAAAATATCAGCAGCTGCAGCAGCAGAAACATCAACAGCTGCTGCTGCTGCAGCAGCAGCTGCAGCAGCAGAAACATCAGCAGCTGCAGCTCCTGCTGCAGCAGCAGCAGCTGCAGAATTACCTCGTAAGGCCCGCAGTGTCTCTCGCCCTGGGTACCTTTTGAATTACAAAAAGCAGCAGCAGACCGACACAGTGGCTGCTGCTGCTGCTGCTGCTGCTGCTGCTGCTGCATTAGTGAGCTGCGCCGGGAAGCAGCAGCAGCCGCAAGAACAGCAGCAGCAGCAGCAGCGGCTGCTGCTGCTGACAGAAGCTAGCAGCAAAAGCGGGCCTTCAGTCAAGGTGACAAAAGTCCACTCTAGCAGCGCTGAGCCTGCTGCAGCAGCAGCAGAAGCAGCAGCAGCAGCAACAGCAGCAGCAGAAGCCTCGTCGACAGGGACAAGAGCAGCAGCAGCAGCAGCACTACAAGCAGCAAACGGAGAAGTAACTACATCAGCAGCAGCAGCAGCAGCAGCAATGCCCGCAGCAGCAGCAGCAGCAGCAGCGCTGCCCCCTGAAAAAACAATAACACGCTGCTGCAGTGGGAAGCTGACTACGGACTCTTCAGCCCCCAGCAGGAGCAGCAACCGCAGCAGCAGCAACTGCAGCAGCAGCAGCAGCAGCAGCAGCAGCAGCAGCAGCAGCAGCAAGTGCATAATAGGGACAGTACAACAACTCGAAAGGAAAAGGGCCCCCAAGTTGCTTCGAAGGAGAGCAGCAGCAAATAGGGGGGTGGGCCCCGTCAAGCTGCGTGTGCGTCACCAGCTGCTGCTGCTGCAGCTGCTGCAGCAGCAACTGCAGCAGCAGCAGCAGCAACTGCAGCAGCAGCAGGTGCAGCTGCAGCACCAACGGCTCCTCGCGGAAGCAGCTGCAGCACAGCCTCAAGCAGCAACCAGCTTGCCTCTTAGTTCTGGGGCCCCTGCTGCTGCTGCTGCTGCTGCTGCTGCTGCTGCTGCATCGGCAGGGGCAGAAGACAGCTGCAGGCCCGAAAAGCGGAGGCCCCCAGCTGCTGCTGCTGCTGCTGCAGCTGCCACAGCAGCAGCAGCAGCAGCTGCTTCTACAGAAGCAGCTCCAAAGCAGCCTTCACCGTCCCCAGCAGCAGCAGGCGCAGCAGCAGCAGCAGCAGCAGCACGAGCACACCCAACTCCACCGTCCCCAGCAGCAGCAGCACCAAAACCAGCAGCAGCAGCAGCAGCAGCAGCAGCAGCAGCAGCAAATATGGGGGGCCCCCACTGCAGCAGCTCTAACTGGCTGCAAAGGAGACAAGGAGACCCGCAGCACACGCTGCGGCTGTACATGCATGCAGCAGCAAAGCAGCAGCGGCTGCTGCAGCTGAAGCAGCAAGTGAGAATGGCATTTAATTAATGGCATTTAATTAATGGCATTTAATTAATGGCATTTAATTAATGGCATTTAATTAATGGCATTTAATT